GTCATGCAGACCGAGTGAATCTTTAAATCTCCAGAACCAGATGACGTAATACCAGCCTTGTTGGACAAGTGCAACTAAAACATAATGTCTGCGTTTTTTAATTCATACCAAGTTTGCGGAAGGGGTTAAATTTAACCTTCATCTCCAAAACTGCTGAATATGGACATAAGAAAATCATTTACTCTGCTTTACATTGTCGGATATATTATGAGTAACATGGATTACTCCAGCTTCACCTTGGCTGCGTTCCTAGATGTTGTTGTTGTAGCAGTTTTATATATGTATATCATTCATCTTGTTTGATTCAATCTGGTTGTGGTCTTTTCTCCAAGTTAAGAAATTCAACTACTTCCACAGGCTGCAGCTACAGATCTTCTGGAGTAAGTTGAGTAGGTTTGGCAGGGCAATTGAATAAGTGCAGTATGGTGTGAGGGCCTGTACCACATGCAGGTCAGACATTCTGCACGTGGTCATCAATCTGTGTCCAATACGAATTGAGACGACTGCGCTATCCTGGACGAAATTGAACCAAAACTACTTTGGTTTGTCTGGTTAGCTGACATCATTCAGCTACGATGTATTCATTGAGCGCTGCGACAATTGCATCAGTATGAATGTCATTTAGACCTGCTCGATAAGCAATTTCATCTAGATGATCCCTTTTTTTAACGTTGGATCTTTCTCTCCAGATCATGCAGATCCTTCTTTAAGATGATTGTCCCTGAAGCACTCAAGCACGTTGGGTGCTTGGTGCATTATTCACAAAAAAATCGGACGAAACTATATATGAGAGCTATATCTAAATCGGAACCGATTTTAACAAAACTTCGCAGACATCAGTTTGAACCTAATTCATTACTCTGTGTAAAATTTTGTCCCAATCGGACAAATATTGGGAGTTTGGTGCATCATTCTCAAAAAATCGGACGAAACTATATATGGGAACTATATCTAAATCTGAACCGATTTTAACAAAACTTCGCAGACATCAGTGAGGATCTAATTCAGTACTCTGTGCAGAATTTTGTCCCAATCGGACAAGTATTGGGAGTTTGGTGCATCATTCTCAAAAAATCGGACGAAACTATATATGGGAGCTATATATAAATCCGAACCGATTCCAACAAAACTTCGCATACATAAGTATGTACCCGATTCAGGGCGCTGTGCAAAATTTTGTCCCAATCGGACAAATATTGGGAGTTTGGTGCATCATTTACATAAAATCGGACGAAACTATATATGGGAGCTATATGTAAATCTTAACTGATTTTCTCCAATTTCAATAGGGTTCGGGCCAATTCTGTGCAGAATTTTGTCCCAATCGGACAAGTATTGGGAGTTTGGTGCATCATTCTCAAAAAATCGGACGAAACTATATATGGGAGCTATATATAAATCCGAACCGATTCCAACAAAACTTCGCATACATAAGTATGTACCCGATTCAGGGCGCTGTGCAAAATTTTGTCCCAATCGGACAAATATTGGGAGTTTGGTGCATCATTTACATAAAATCGGACGAAACTATATATGGGAGCTATATGTAAATCTTAACTGATTTTCTCCAATTTCAATAGGTTTCGGGCCAAATAAGTTAACTGTGCCTAATTTCATCCAAATCGGATCATAAATGAGACCTGTACTTTGTTTACAATTTAACATGGACAGACGGACATGCGTAAATCGACTCAGAAAGTGATTCTATGCATATTCTCAAAAGGAACCATGGGTCTATCTCGATTCCTTTTGCCTGTTAGAAACATATGCACAAAGACATAATACCCGTTACCACAGTGTGGTGAAGTGTATAATGATCTTCGTCTCCTCACGAAGATGGTCCACTGGTGTCATGAGTAGGCACTCTGTTGCAGTTCTCAAGGTGGCGTTCTGACAGGCCTGAAAACTTCTCAATTTCGTAGCACTAGTATTCGCATACCGCATACCTGGCCACAGACCGACCTATCACTTTGTAAGAGGACGACAACATTTCCTTATCTGCGCCCCAATTGCTGTCGGCAAGCGACTTGATGACCTTTTTCCTACTTTTCAACTTAACGCAGATAGCTATGGTTTGCGCGGACGATTTAAACAAGCTGTCGGATGTGACACCGATGAACTCCCTGCTTCACTCTGCGGGACTTGGACTTCTTATTCCGCAATTACATGTACGACTGCATTCCTTACATATCCAACGTTTCAAACTTGGCCGAAGCGAAGTTTTCTCGATGTTCTTAAACAGTGTGGTATGATTTGCGGTATTAAAGGCCTTTGATAGGCCAAGCACTGCCTCGACTTATAGGTATGCCGATGGCGTGCAACCCTGTTTTTGTGCTCAATTGTTTACGTAACCCATGTTGATGATTCGCAACTAGATAATTGTCCCCGATGCTGAGGAGGGGTAATGCCCGGGTTCGTCCAGCTGTTTCAGCATAATCATGGATATTTCGTCATGACTCAACGCTTTAGACGACTTAGCGTAACAGGCAACATAATCCATTGTAAACTCTGACGTTACCTCCTCGGCAAGAAGTACTCTTCGCTTCGCCCTATCGCTGTGGGGATGCTCGATAAACTATCGGTTAAAATAACTTGGGCATAACTTCGTTGAGGTTGACATCCTCGGTAAGAAGGTTGATAACCTTCTTACCGCGTTTAGAGAGCGACTTAATCGTTTCCCACCTGTTCCAATGTTGCAACTCTTCCGATGCTCCAAACATTTTTTTTCTCTTACGCTCAGCGACTGTACTAACCTCCATCGTGAGTTCCCTGACCCTGGGATTTGGGTGGTTACAACTACGGAACTCCTAACGCCCAATTGCATGTCCAATTTCCTCTGCTGGAAATAAGGTTTCATTCCGGGTATTCGACCAGCAGGAATAAATCTAGGGTTGAAGCTGCAATAAAGAGTTCTCTGGACTCTGTTATTTGGCATTATTATAGTTAATGGTAGTGCGGCGATCAGAGGTGATCAGATGGGGGCATACTGATGGAGACAGCAATTGTGAGGTGGTTCGCTGCCAATGAACGTCGTTTATCAAAATGGGTGACACAAATGCTATACAGAAGAATTGTAAAACTCACCTTATTCTGGTGGGGCCATCCTCATTTACATTGAAAAGAAGGTTTCAATGTTTCCATCTGGTCATTATACAGGACGGAAAGTCACAATTCATGGTGTGCATTGAAATCCCCTAGTACCAGGCGGTTATTACCCTCCATCTATTATTCGGCGAATATTTACGATTAGGTCCTCTACCTCTGCAGGATCACATGAATGGTCACTAGAGTCTAGCTCAAGGGATATAGGTTCATGGAGTCCACTATCTTTCCAGTTATCCAGATTTGAACGAGTTTGCCTAGGAACAAATTGCAAAAGGACTTTATTGCATTTGTAGCCGATCATTTCTGCGGAAATTGCCTGTTGATTCAGATTTCATGTAGGTCGATATCGACGATCGTTGACGTCTAATGAAATGAAGTCCGGAATGCCTTCACGATAGCACTTTAAGACCTCACGTATGATGATTGGGATGAAATGGCGGGAATAGTCTAGTCTGCGACGCTTTAGGTTGCTGATCGTGCTGGTGATCGACATTCGTTATCTGGAAACAACCCCTTGCAATGCATAATTTTGTAATATTTGAAAGTATTGCTTTATGAGTCTTTAAGAAAAGATGTCCACACTGGGCAGCATAATTAATGATGGAACGGCTTGTAGTCTAATACTTCGTTACCAATGTTATTTTTCGTTGGTACCTCCTGCAATCTAGAGTTTTTAAAACTTTGATCCAAGCATTTACCTTCTGATTAAAGTAATTGGTTTTCGAAAGGAAACAGAGACATTTTTGGATTTTGGACGGTGACGATACGCCTTACTTTGAAAGAAATGTCATGTTCTAAATTGTGATTTCGCATCTTAGAAGTGAATATGACACGATTGAATGTGCACTGATTAATTGAATATTACTCTCACGGAAGAAGTTAGTGATTGTGACTTAATAGCTGGAAATTTTGAGCCAATTGCCATGGGTTCCTTAGTTCATCTTCTTGAAAAAATCTATTCTTCGAAAATACAATGGTGACCTTTAACAAATCCATTATTGGTCTCTGATATACATTTTTTTACACATTTTCTGCCCACCAAATAAAAACCACTAATTTTTGTTTTTAAATATATATTTTTTTTTTTTTGTTTTGTATGAGTAAAGTATATATTTTTGTAGTTCATTGCTCTCAATTGCGTTTAAATTAATTTTAAAGAGAGATTAAAAAGAGGATTATTATTGATAATACACATACAAACACAAATTAATACACAGTATATACTTAAAGTCATTAAAGAGTACCTACACTTAATACGGTAAAATACTTTGCAAAGGAATTTAAAAGAAAAATAATTAAAAAATATCGATGCGAGATTTTATATTGGTTTTATACGCTTAAAAATATTTGCCAAAAAATGTGTTTTTGTTAAAAATAAAATAATACGAAAAGTAAAGCAAACTTAATCTTAAGCAGTAGCGGGAGATAAAATTTTGAATAGCTTTAAAAGCTAAACGAGGGATATGAAAATGTTGTGGTGGGAATGAATGAATACAAGAAAATAGGCAAAGAAAAGAAATGGAACAAATAATAATACTACAACTATTTAAGAATAGTTAAAGGGTTTGAGGAATTACTCTGAAATCAGTTAAATGACAATCAGGGGACCCCGAACGCATGTTCAAGTCTGACTGATTGACATAAAAGTGTTTTCAAAATAATACCAAATTTGTGAAATTTTGTTCTTTTTGTCTAAAATTTAAGTTTTTGTGAATTCGAGAATTGAACTTCCCACTTTTGTTGTTGTTGTTGTTTTTGTTATTTCTTACCATGGGAAATGCGGTATTTCTTATTTTATTATATAATACTAATTAAAATTTTCTGTTATAGAAAAAATTGTGTTTTATGCATTCGAAAACCTCATTCGAATTTGTAGGGAGGAGCAGCAGTTGGTTTTATTCATTTGATAAATTTAAAACATCATCACCAGTCTTGGGAATTTTGGCTGGAGGTGGTGCAGCTAAATCGGCAATAGATGAAAATTCCATGCGTTTCTTGGTGCCCACACCACCTAGACCGGCGGCAGCAGCAGCACCCAAGCCAGCACTCAATGCCGCCAATGAACCATGCGGTGCCAATTCTCCATAGAGTCGTGTCAAATCAACTGGCGGTGTATTTGAGGGGCGTCGATGTGCAGACGAATTGCTACCATCTGATGGTGCCGGCGATGGTGTATTCGAGGGAACACTTGATATGGCCAAATCCACGGCACTAAAATTATACTTGCCACCACCGGGTGTCGATGAGCCCCCGGTTACCCCAGATTTGGTGGGAGTTAGACGCTCCAATGCCGGCGAAGCGGACGACTCGCGGTTACGCGACGATGAACTTGTCGATTTGGGTGGTTTCATCATCATGGCATTCAGCGATTCTTGTTGAATTTTCAACAAAGCCGACGGTGACATAAAGAGATTATTGGCAGCCAATGTCGATTTGGCCAATGGATCGGGTATACCAAATTTACCAGCCTGCTGTTGATGTTGTTGGAAAAATGCTGCATAATCTTGCATTTTCTCTTGGGCCAACGCATTGTAATAGGCGGCAGCTGGATCGGTGAGTGGTGAGGGGGCTCCAGTAGAATTGGGTCCAGAACCACCACCTGATTTCGAAGATGAGGGTGTATTTGAGGATGGTGGTGCCGATGTCGGTTGTGCGAAGAGGGCATTTAAATCAGCAGCTGCCTTATTCTGATGATAGAGCAAAGCATTTAAATCCGATTGCTGCTTTTCGGACTGCAATAGCTGATTAAGCATATCGGTTTGTTGGGCAAGTTGTTGTTGTTGCTGTTGTTGAGCTTCCTTGTGTTTTTGTTTAGCCGAGGAGGAAGAACTGCCAGAGGATGAAGGAACACCACCACCAGCTCCTCCTGTTATACCAGCTGTGAGAAGAGCAGACAATTCATGGGGTGTTGGTCCACCCTTACCTCCTGTAAGAGCTGAAAACTGACTTGTCGGATCAAAGAGCTTAGAGTAGGTTTGCAGCAATGTTGTATAGTCGGCATGCATTTGTTGCTGTTGTTGTTGCTGCTGATGTTGCTGTTGTTGTTTTTTCGATGTAGATGGTGATACAGCTGGTGGTACACTAATGGCTGCAGCTGCTGCAGCCGCAGTCATTTGTTGTTGCAGGAATGCATTCAAATCATTTGTCTTGGATTGTTGTTGTAAATAGGAATAGGATTGCAAGAGATTGTTATAATCCGCCGATAGAGCTGCTGCGGATGCGGCAGCAGCAGCATTGGCGGCCGCTGCTGCAGCCGAGGAATTTTTACTTTTACTTCCCCCCTGTGTGGGTGTTGGCTGTAGACCAGCAGCACTGGCCAAATAACTAAAATCAGCACCAAAACCTAATGTTCCCAATGTGGTGGCCCCCAATGCCTCCGCCTGTTGCAATAGTAGGGCAGCATATTCCGGTGAACGTATCAACTCAGACATTTTCAATGGATCATTTTTGAACTCATCCAATTCCTTCATTAATTTCGTCTTATACGAATTCGAACTGTTCGATGATGAGGAAGAAGATGAAGAGGAGGATGAAGATTTTGATGATCTTTCAGATTTTGATTTAGTGGATGCAGGTGCGGGAGCCGGTGCTGGGGCTTGCGGTAGCATATCCTGTAAACGTGGCATATTAAATTGTTGCGAATAAGCGGCAACTGCAGCTGCCACATTTGGATCTGAAAAGTCAGGCATACCGGAGGCAGCAGCTGATGGTAATGACGAAGATGAAACAGAGGAGGAATTTTGTGATTTGTTCTGTTGTGATTGATTTCCCGAGCCACCACCAACCTTGGCAGCAGCTGCAGCCAATTGATTGAGCGAAGTATTACCATATTCTTTACGTTGTTGAAACAGGGCAGCCAAATCCCCTTGCAAAAAGTTGGGTGGCAATTGACCGGCCAATTGAGCTAAACTTGCAGCCATCAAGTCATTAGCTGTGGGCAAGTTATGAGGCACAGATCCAGTTGCTGATGGTGGTACAAGGCCACCCACAGATGAAGGATCGAATTTATTTGTGGGTGTTATACTGGGACTATTGCGGGCTATGTCGCTAATACTAAATTTACCAGGGCTGGGAGCTGGTGAATTTCTGGTCCTTGATGTATGGGATGATGTGTCGGATTTTGCTGGTGAGGGAGATGCCCGAACAGGTAATTCAAATTTAGCCGGCGAAGCGGAGTTAGAGGGTATTGTAATGGGACTATCTCTAGGAGAGGCAGAGGGCAAATTTGAAACACCAGCAGGTGGTAGAGTGGGTATTGCAGGTGGCATTGGCGGCAGAAGCACCGAAGAAGGTACTGCTGTCACTGGGGCTGGTGGTTGTGTCAAAGGTGTAATAATTGGTGCTATTCCCGAAGCACTGGTTGTAGTGGCTGCCACTCCAGCAGTTGGATTTGGGGTAGCCAATGGAGACAACATACGCACCGGATTCATATTTAAACCAGATGGCAAACAAAGTTGTTCCTGCAATGACAACACCTTCAATTCACTGGCCTTTTGTTCAGCCTGCGATTGCTCCTCAGCTGCACGTAATGCCTCCTCTGCGGCCGTAATTTTTTGTGCCAATGTCTCGGTGTCCGATTTTAACTCCTCCTCTGGCTTAACCTCCAATTTTTCACCAGCTGTAGCAGCATCCACTTTTGGTGGATCATCTTTAATATCAATAATTTTTATTGTCTTTGGAGGTATGAAATCATCCTCTTGTTCACAACCCAATACAGCACATATCCAATTCCATAATGCTTTGTCATTTTGTTTTAGCGGGAATTTGGGATATAAAGTGTTTTTTAGCTTCTCAATAAATGTTACATCATCGTTGTAGATATTTTGAAAACGTACAACTTCATTACGAAATTGTGAATAATAATCAACACATGATTGTATTTCGGAACGTACTTCTTCGGGTATTTCCTTATCGGGTAATACGGAATATTGCATTAACATCGGGCGGCCATATTCGAGGGCTTGTTTATTTTCATTTGGTGGCATAACCCATATGGATTTGACCACAGATTCGAGTGTGGGGTTTTCATCGAAATACGGCGCTAAAAGAAAAGCAGGATGGAAATTGTTTAAAGTGCCAGACTACAAAAATAGTTTTCTTTTTTTACTTACATATAATCAACGAAACACATGGAGTGTAAGTGGCATCAGAAGCTCCCCTCATTTTTATTTGACAGTCCAGTTGAGCATCACAGTCCCGTAGTGTAGGTTCTGCTTGAAATTTCGGATGTGAATGATACCAACCAACCAATAGCAATTGATCCTTGGACATATTCTTTTGTATATCACGTTCAATATCAGCAGCTTTACCACGATCAAATCTGGTATTACGACAAGGATAGGCTTTTGTAATTGCCAGAGCTAAAAAGACAGAAAATAATAATGAATAGTAAAATATTCATAAAACTATAAAAATGTTTTCTCAACTTACTGTGCGAATTAATATCCCAGGTGCCACCTAAATAACCGCACACTTCATGCATCGTCAAATGACAATGAAAATCGGCCAATAATAATGCTGAGGAGTTTATTGTCAATAGAAATGGTTGCAATTTACCAAGTGTTGTAAATGGCACCGCTTCGATGAGCATATTTGCATCACTAGGAAAAGAAAATGGGGGAAATAATGTTATTGATTTATATCTTTTAGAATGCTGTTCAAGTTTTTAAAACTCACTGCATAACATTACGATTTGTAATGGTATTGTGTTGAAATACTGTTCTCTTTACCACCGGCTGTGGAGATTCACATTTTTTGTCCACATCTGTAAGAAACAATAAAATAATTTAATTTGCATAAATTTAAACTATGGAAAATGAGACAGGCTTTATATGATCCGAAATGGCACTTCTGAAAAAAAACGATGACGAAAAAAACTATGACATCAGGAAGAATGACATCTCCTATTTGTTACCCACTGATAATTCAAATTATCCAAAATGTCATCGTGTGATCTAATGGCACTTCTGGCATTTCGGAAAAAAACTATGACATCAGGACGAATGACTTCTCCTATGAACATATGGAAAATTCGACCGAAAATGCTTTTAAATTAACATGTTTTTCTAAATAACCGCCAATATTACCTTGATCGGTCCTTAAATGAGGAAGTTATGAGCATATGAACTTCAGAACTTCAGAGTTTTATATCTCGGGAATTATGGACATTCCCCATGAAAGTCATATATTTTCCTGATCATGGACACAAGACGAAAAATAAACTAAAAAAAATTATAAAACTGCCGATAATTGACTTCTAAATATTTTTTCCACCTTCTTTAGTTGTTCCAGTTTCAATTCTCCCCTTATATTATTAATCCTCTTGTACTCACCCTCAATATCCTCCGATATGGAATCCTTATGCTGTGCACACTTCCTCAACCAACTATTTTTAAATGCATCCAATTTCTTGCCCTTATAACGCACGGAAGCCCAACCGCAACCGCTTTTCTTTTCCGGATTAATGATCCGCTTACAATTCATAGCCCAGGCACTGGGCGTTAGGAAAACAGTTTCCGTCTCCTGTGATTTTATTTTACCATCCGGCAATAGATCGCCGACAAATTTCTGTCCCAAATATTCAATGGTCATAACCGATTTGCCCGGCTGCAACACATTTGCGCTCATCAATGTTTGTAGGGTTATGTTACGACCCGTTCCATTGAAACCCTCGTAATTATCTTTAGTCTAGAAAGAGCAAAGCAAAACAAATAACAAGAAAAAACATGCACGTTTTTATTTTTGTATTCTGTACTGTTCATTGCAAATTTGTTTTCTATTTGCACACAACTCACCTCATCGTCGGCATCATCATCGGCCACATCGCTGTCATCAGCTTTATCGGCAACACTATCAGCATCGACTACAGTTCCAGCTGCATTTGCATCCAAACCAACACCATTACCATTGCTGCCATCGCCAACTGAGACCCCACTACCCGTAGCAGCGCTCGTATTTTGTGTTGTGTTTGTCGTCGGTGCTGCACCTGCAGACGTCAACTGCAAAGCTTGCGATGTCATTGTATCTGCTGTTGTCGTTAACATAGCGGCTTCATTCATAGACTGCTGATGCTGCAGGTGTTGTTGTTGCTGTTGTATTTCCATTGACGATGAGGCGTCTGTTTCTTGGCCCGTAGTCAAATCAACACTTTCCTGTTCCTTTGCCGCAGATCTTTCACTTTCCCCAACATTATCGACTTCACCTTCTTGCATTGCCCACAGTTTTTTGGAATTTTAATAGTTTATTTAATGATTTTTAAATGTTTTTTCACAAAATAATTCAGAGACTTGCAAAAATAATTGTGTATGCCAGAAAGAATGATGTAGAATGAAGGAATAGTCGATTAAAATGTGTCTTCTTCTTGTTTTTTGTAATGTACTGTAAAGTGATAACACAATTAGTGGAGGGCGCAATTACAATCGATAACAAGGTGTTATCGATAAGATGGCGTTAACAAATGCAAGATTGTCATTTACAATTTTTGTTATTGTTTAGATTTAGAAAAAAAATATATAAGAAATTGTCGAATATATTTAATATTCTATTAAAATAAATTTATCCTTAGGACTAGAAAAAATTCAAGCGACTAGTGAGTAGAATTTCAAAGGCTTTAGAAGTTGTTTATGAAATTGTTACAAATACTTTTAAACTCTATAAATAATTTTTTCTTTAATTATTCGATTTAAAGTCTGCCCAAGAACCTGTTAGAAAATGTAAATTTTTACCACAATACAAATGTATACGTTATGATATCTTATGTCTTCAAGGTTATGAGGATATAACGATCGATACACCAACTCCTCAGGATATTATACAGTATGTAATTTCAATATTTTAGCCAGATTTTGCAAATAAATGGGCACTGTATTTCCGAAACCAGATCATTCTTTAAATTCAATTATATCTAATTTAAAGGGCCAAGAGCTATTTTTCCAAAACAATCGAAGTGGCTGCAACAAAAATGGATTTTTTTTTCGAATGGAAGCGAAATGAAACGAAATCCTTTCGGTGGATATAAGTCTTAACGTATCAGATATAGCTTCCATAACTTCCCACATTTGTTCAAGTGACACGAAATTTTGCACATCTTATCAATTGAGTATGATATAAAGTGTGTTAAGTTTTGTTGATATCGGTTCAGATTTAAGTATAGCCCCCATATACCTTCATCTGATTTCCTGTCGATAATGCACCGATTGGTTTGGGCGCTTGATACGTACCATGGTATAATAATAAAAGGTAACAGCAAGTGTTGTTGTACAAAAAAACGATACAACAACCACATGGAAATTTTTTGTTGTAAGTTCTACTAGTGTCAACTCATTTGACAGAAAAATGTAAACAAACAAACAAATTATCATCAAATTATTTTTATTTTGAAAATGGAATATTTTCGAATCCTCAAAATAAAAATTGAAAAACATGAATGAAAATCTATCAAATTTATATTTCTATCGCTTCCACATCTTTCCTTTAATTGAGCCATTGCCATATATGTGTGTAACACATATGACAATGCTGGGAATAGCGAGTAATTCCTTCAAGAAAGATTTGCTTTCTCAAACTTTCCCAGCAGGCAGATTGAGTAAATTGAATACGGGAGCACATTAATAAAGAACAATTTCAAATTGTATGCGTTCCCAATTTTCCTGTTGGTTGATTTTTAAAAACATAAGTTGTCAAATTTATATTGACACTAGTATTACGTTGAAATCAAATCAGCTGGGATTTGCTGTTACCTTTTATAATTGTACCATGGATACGTACCTAATTCAGTTTAGGTTAGCCATCATTATTCAGCATTTTGAGGATATTGAGTACGTTTTTCAAACGATTCGGCTTTTATTTGATATAGCATTGATAGTTTAGATATAGCCTAATATTGGTGATTATTTTGAAGATTTAGGTATGTTCAAGGTAGTTTTATATTTTATGGTTATGTAATTTACATTGGATATGTGTATGGGTGTGTTGTTGGAGCTTTGTAGGTCGTACGGTTGACATCCCAAGAACAATGCGTTCTTCTTATACCCTTCACCACACTGTGTTACAGGGTATTATGTCTTTGTGCATATGTTTGTAACAGGCAAAAGGAAACGAGACAGACACATGGTTCCTTTTGAGAATCACTTCACTTCTGAGTCGATTTACGCATGTCTTTCCGTCCGTCTGTCTGTCCGTTCATGTATTTTTGTGAACAAAGTAAAGGTCACATTTATGATCCGATTTGGATGAAATTTGGCATAGGTCACATATTTGGCCCAAGGACGAACCCTATTGAAATTGGAAAAAATCGGTTTCGATTTAGATATAGCTCCCATATATATTTTCGTCCGATTTAATGTAAAAGGTGCACCAAAGTCCCTATATATCCTTCGATTTGCACGAAGTTTGGCACAGCGTAATGAATTAGGTCTGGAATGATGTGTGTTAAGTTTCCAGAAAATCGGTTCAGATTTAGATATAGTTCTCATATATATTTTCGTCCGATTTAATGTAAATAGTGCTTCAAAGTGCCTTGCACGAAATTTGGAACAACGTAATGAATTAGGTCTGGAATGGTGTTTATTAAGTTTCCTGAAAATCGGTTCAGATTTAGATATAGCTCCCATATATATTATCGTCCTATTAAATGCAAATGGTGCACCAAAGTCCCTATATATCTTTCGCTTTGCACGAAATTTGGCACAGCATAATGAATTTGGTATAGAATGATGTGTGATAAGTTTCCTGAAAATCGGTTGAGATTTAGATATAGCTCCCATTTATATTTTCGTCCGATTTAATGTTAATGGTGCACCAAAGATATAGCTTCTATGTATATCTGACCAAATGAAAAATTTAGTATCTGTTGCAGAATGTCATGTTTATGGATCTAATTTCATTTTACGGGTCCTTTAAAAATGTGACGTCTGTTAGGATTCATCTGTTGAATATACCCAAAGTGATTAAGGGTATCGTATAGTCGGCTTCGTCCGACTTTGCTACTTTCCTTACCGGTTAATAAATAAGAATACGTTCTCTATGGGATTTGTGGACCTGAAGTTCAGACGAATATGTCAATGTGGAGGAGGTGGCATAACCGTGTGAAGATTAGGATGACACGGCATATACCACGCCTGTATGAAGCTATTTCTATTTAAGAAATAATATCGCAGGCATATTTCGATTGAGACGTTCGCACCTACGAATGATCATTCTGTCTCTATTTATTTTTTTTCTAAACACTGGGTGTTATTTAATGCAGTTTTCAAATCTAAAACTGACTTATATATAGTTTTCATCTTCGAACCTAACTGATAACAATATACATATTAGAGGAATATGGTCACAATTTAAAGGGACAATGGTTTCCCATGATAAATATGGATGGAACGAGGGTGTAAATATGGAAATGTGCATGTGTATGAAAATGTACATATCTAATAATTCTCGTTTTTATAAATCGATTTATTTAAAGCTATTACAATTCTTATTCAAATTTAGTTTATCCTTGATAAAAATACACATGTTGCAAACTTTTCTACTTTTTGTCTCAAACAATTTGATTTCCTATTTTTTTCTAAATAACATTAATCGGCATGTAATCGACAGCTCATAAATGAATCGCAACTTATTTAAATACAAATAAGTGACACGAAGAGCTATTAAAAAGACAGAGACAAACAACAATTGACATTATTGGGACACATAAAGTTATAATCACGACAAATTTCAAAGTTATTATTTCACAATTTAGCCGTTGAACCTGTCCCTTCCTTTACCCTTCCTGTGATTGATACATATCTATGTATCCGATAAGTATTGGTAAATATGTACATATTTATGTATGTTGATTGTTTGTTTGACATAACTACAATTTATTTGTTATTGGCAGGATAATTTGGACGTCGAATATTAAATTGAACATCATAACAATAAATGGCATGAGCGATTTAATGCAAAAAAAACGAACAACATTTACTCAACATGCAATCATGATTATAATCAAAAGGATGGTGGGTAAATAAAAAAATATAGCATAGATAGCATAAATTGATAGATAACATAATTTATCATGGAAAACAATAAACGTGCATTGGAACCTATACCATATACCGTTTGATATGAATTAATTATTCCAAAGGTTTATATAATTAACTACTTATAAATTGATTAATAATTTTGTATGAATATAAGGGGTATCCTTAAGAATTTGACCATTTTTTGACAACAGAAGATTTCTTCTTCTAAGATTTTATTCGAGGTATTTCTATCGCAATTTCAATATGCTGATAATGTTTTTGATAAAATCCTATGCGCTAGGTGAAGGATGTATTAAATTTGTCATTCCATTTGTAACACCTCTAAATCCCAACATACCATTCAGTAATCAAATCTCAATACCACTTGAGAACCAGCTTATAATAATAGTTGTTCTTAAGCTTTTTTTAGTAATATTAAAAAAATATTGTTAAAATGTGAATTCACAAACAGTTTTCAACTATGCTTGAGAAACTATTGTTGTACACAAATGTTTCCCAATTGCAAAAATAAGCTTTTAGTAATATTACACAAGTAATTGTATCATAAGGGTTCCGTTTTGATTTTTCTACAATTATTAATAGACATTTCTCAAGACTTTTTCAAGCTTAATGCTTGTGTTGGTAAGCTTAATATAATATTATTTGTTGGGATATAATAAGAATCTATGTCGATTTCTCCATGTTCGTCTGTGTGTTTACATCACGATGGAACTCACAAAACATATGTAAAATAAAACTTTGAAAATTTGCACGAACATTGCTAATATTTCTAGGATGTTTGGTATGGTGTATATAAGTCCACTATTTGTTATAGCTCCCAAATAACGGTAACGTCCAATTTTCAGGTATTTTGAGGCTTGCACCCCCATTTTCCAACCGAGAAAGTTCTAATTTGCCATAAAGGCGTTTTGAAGGCTGCACAGAAAATGTACCCCTTGAAACAAACTCCCGTCCAATGTTTGATATTTTGAGGAATTAGCCGCATTTCCAAACCGAGAAGTCTCTAATTTGGCATTTCGGGGTTTGGCAGGCTGACATGCATTGAATATTCATTAAAGGTCCATGTTGAGAAGAAAGTATTTCTTTGCAGAACATTTTAAACATGTGGCAATGATTGTAAATACACGCCGAAGTTCCGTTTAATTTTTGCTATGTTAAAACTTAGTGTCTGTAACATTTTATTTAAT